TGCTAATATTAGCTTCAATGAAGTTATAGACGAAAGCAGAGCATGCTTGATGAAACGAGCTACCTTGTGAAAGAACAAAAAGAATACTAGATTGAAAGGAGAAAAGAGAAACTCATCCTTCGAAACTGTAAATTCAATAAGATTTATTTTTAATGTTACCAAAAAAACAATAAAGAACTTTTTCTTTTCAAGAAGTATTATTTTAAACAAAGTATTCTTACTTGTACCGTTTTAAAAACATATTTTTACTTGTATAGGTTTAAAACCATTGGTAAAAATGCACTATCGAAAGAAAAAACAAAACTCCTAATACGAGGCTTATGCTGTATTACCAAGTCAAGGAGCTCAATAAAGAAACTGGGCCAGAAATCCTCTGGACAGGATGGGCCACTGCTTCTGTTGCAATTATGGCAATGGTGACTCTTTCTCAACTGATTTTCAAGACCTAATCCCTACTAGATGTTGACAAATGTGAGAGGTGTGGAAAAAAAGAGGCAGATTGTGCAAAACAAGACAATAAAGTGAAAGGGTAAAAAGGGCGAGTTATTGGCGTGACAGAGAAGAGGTTGCAATTTTTCTTTTTATTTTTTATTTTTTTATGGAGTAATGGGTAGATAATGTAATTAATTGCAAATAGATAATATCGCTCAAATTAATATAGTGGTAAATAGAGTATTTTTCCAACAATGATCAAGTTAATCTAGTAAATATTGGAGTGATTTTTGTTTAATTATATTTGAATTAAACAATAAGAGGATTAAAATGACAAAAATATAATTAAGCAAGTAAAATAAGAATAAGTAAATAATGTAAAAGATGAAAACAAAGATGATACAGCACTAGAACACCGATTTCACCTAGCTTAATCCTATCCAAATCCTTCTAACTTGTCAATCTTAATTACCTAACATGTTGATAATCGTAGCCCTAGTAAAAGAAATTGGTTCATGAAAAACTTATTGAGAAACATGATGGTTGATGAAGACATGGAAGGTACTGAATTCTCCAAAACGTACAAGAAATTTGATTTTGCGCTTGATTAAGTAACTTGCTGAGTTGGATCATAGTTATCGGGTTTTATTTAGAAAAAAACAAAATTTTATTCAAACAACAATAAAGAGATGAGTTGTAGGTGAGGAAAATTGACTTTCAAAGGGTTAAGCTAAAGAGATGGGTTATAGTTGAAAATACAAGGTGTCAAACATTATTGCTGTGAAAATGGAGATATGATTACTACTACGGTTTGATGTTTAAGTGCATAGACTCAATTAAAACCTAATGGAACTAATTAGTTCTAAATCTAATTGTTTCGTTCTTTTGTTGGAATCACCTTCTTTGTACAAAAATAAAATAAAAAAAAAAAAAAAAACAAAAATTAACTAAAAAAAAAAAAAAAAAAAAAAAAAAAAAAAAAAAAAAAACTTCTTTAAATACCACAAAAAACAAGAAAGACGAGAGGGAAAAGTTGCATCTGCCCCGTGCCCATGAGCTCTTAAACCACTTTAGAATATGTTATTTTTCCAATGTGGGATCTTGAGTCCTAACATTCCACAACGCTTTCGTACTCAACTATCAGTATTCAATGACTCGATATCATGCCCATACATAACACTGATCATCTTAGTTTAGCCTATAGGCCATCTCTATCGTGGAATTGGGCCCAGTTGCGTGGTGAAACGAGGCTCTGATACCAAATGTTAAGAACTCTTAGATAGAACTTATCCCTAAAAAACGGCTTGTAAGGGAAGAGTGCCCATGAGCTCTTAAACCACTCTAAGATATGCTTATTTTTCCAATATGGGATCTTGAGTCCTAACACTAACCTTGACGCTTTTACACCAGAGTTTCTTTGGTCCTATGTGCGTATCAATGGAAGTACACCTTGTGCACTTATTGTTGCCGGTGGACTCCTCCGTATGACGTTTGTGACTGATGTTTGTGCGTATAAATACAATCTATTGTCTTTCTCTAAGGGCCAGTTTGGCATTGTTGTACTGTGAAAATAATTGCTGTCAGATTTGTTATAAGAGAAAGCAGTCTGGCGTTTGGTAAAATTTTTGTTAAAAGTGTTGTTGGTATTGATTTTACGCATAATCAGAAAATGATTGCCGCATAATTATTAAACCCAACGCCTCTTCAAAACTGATCTTTGCATAATTAGAAAATGAAAGCACATCATTAGTTGCTTTTCCTTATAGCTTTCTCTCACAACAATTTTAAACAATAAGTGAATTTCTCACTGTTTACCAAACGGGTTTGGCTTCTCGAAATTTTAAAAAATCACTTATCATCCCAAATAAGCAATGCCAAACTGGCACCAAATAAATAATTATAAATTATAAATAAAAAAAACAACAAAAAAGACAATGTTAACGTGACCCGCAGTGATTTTATAAAAGCGAAATGATAACATTATCCACTCCGAGCGGAAAAGCTAAGCTGCTACCATATCATGGCAAGGCTTCTCATCTCCAACACAGCCTCTCTCACTCTCTCTCCACCAGCCCCGTCCTCACGTGCTCTACTCAACCCCCCGCACGTGCCCATATCGCCGGCGACTCGATTTTCCTGCCGGCAAGCCAGAGGCCTAACGGTGGTGACACGTGCCGGTCCCACCACGAACCAGTACGTGTTCGCATTCGTTATGCCACTCTCTCTGATCGCTGTCACTGTCTTCACCTCCATGAGAATCGCCGATAAGCTCGACGAAGATTTTCTTGAAGAGGTTTGTGAAATTTCTGCAACTGGGTTTTTGTCTTTATTTGCATGCGGCTTAATGTTTCTGAGATGTTAAAGTTCATGTGGGTTTTGGGTTTTGTTGAAGATTGCAAGTGTTTTTATTTTTATTTTCGTTTTTGTGGTGATTGGAATGAACAAGATTGCCAATGAATTCTTTAATATAGAATATAAAGTGGCAATTGAACTGCCAGGCAAGCCTTCAATGTTTTCCCATCAGTTTTATATTAGTTGAAGTTCAAATGGATTTAATGTATGGTGTCACTTTGCTCTGTCAAGATGTTTTTTTTCCCTCTTATGTACTCTGTTTTGTAACAGCGCACAATATGTAGTGTATGTAAATGTTCTATAGTAGTTTTATCATTTTGTTTAAATTTTGATGTCGTAATCACCCCGAAATGGAACAATAGCGAAAATTAGGAGCTTTTATCAACATGTTTCTGTGAAATATAAAATGTATGTTCACTTTCACATATAATCTCAATTTTGTTTTAAATCATGATTTCGGTTATATCTGGCATTGTCTGATGGCATGTTCTTAGAGACATGTTATGCAACTCCAATGGCATGTTCTTAGAGATGTGCCTTAAAAAGAATACTCGGTTTGAAATTAAGATATTTATCATTTTTCTGTGCTTTATCCCTAATATAGTATTAGGGACAATATATCTTCTGCTGCTGTTTTGACAGAAGCCTTTATCTTTGTTTTCTTATATTTCTTTGAAGCCATCCCATGATGGCATGATTCAAATATTTGAGTATTGATTCCATATTGTAATGGGAACAATCATATGTTTTCCTCTTTTCGTTAATGTAAAAAACTATCTTCGGAACCCCTAGGTGAACAGGAGGGACGGGAAAGTGAGAGTTTTGCAAGTACTGCTAAAAATAGATCATAATCTGTTTGTTTGCGATGTTCTTTTTCTTTTTCTCCAATTAATTTATTATGTTTATGAACCACCAGATTCGGGAAACTTAATCAACAAAGCATTGTCCCAGATACTTGTAGTCTGCCAAGCAAATTATTTATTACATTTGCGATTATAGTAACTGTTAATTCATGGGATAGCATGTCTGTTCTTCACAGCTTGACTTTTGTTGGTCTCACATTATAATTAGCCTTTGAAGAAAATTATGCCACAAGAAATATGGAAAACCTGCTGCAATTGTCATTATCCTGACTGCTTATATTTTCGTATGCACGCATGTGTTTCTTTTTTTCTCTCTATATTTTTGTAAGTAGGTCGTAATGTTTGTATTGTTGATGTAGATTGCAATTAACCAAGCGATCAGGGAAACTGATGAGGATGATGAAGTTGACATGCCTATAGATGAAAAACCTGCCCTTCCACGAACACGTAACCGACCCAAAAGGGAAGTCTAGACTTTCTTTTTGCTGCTTGGTAAGGTTTAGTTTTATATTTCAGATCAGCGTGCTGTCGTGAATGGTGATTCTTTGAATGTAAGGGAAAGAAGGGGATGCAGGGAAACTTATAGGCTTTGACAATTTTGTATGTCAAATGAGTATTGACATTAGAATGTTGTGCCGATAGCCTTCGAGCCTAATGGCACCTTCTCTTCCTTCCTTGAGAATTAGAGTGCATGCATTGTGTTTCTTTTGTTTGTAAAAAGAAATATGGTATGAATATATAGAGTTTGTATAATAGGCAGAGGAGGTTTTGCTGTTAGTGTTTCCAATAAGCATGTTCTTGGTTGCTAGCAGAAGTGACAATCCCACCTGAAGGATTTTACAGACAGTATTCATATAGATCAATAGAATGATTTCTTTAAATTTCGAATCGTTGTAATTGAAATTATTGTCAATTCTGAAAAAAAATTTATAATTTATTTCAAGATACAGAATACAAAGTAGAAAAGGTTCATGAAATAAATCTGCTATGCCAAAACCCAAAAGTCGCCTTGAATATTGCGGATTACAAGAAATTGGCATTGCGGACTCAATTTCTCTCACAAATTATGAACATTTCAGATCTGTCATCTTTGACCTATTGCAAAAAAACTTAGGAAACATCAACTCCTGCATGTTCAGCCCATCACTGTCATTGAAATGGGAACTTGGAGTTTGCCTTGAGAAAAATATCTCCCCCTGCTATCAATGGAATATCAACCCTCATAGACTTTATTACAAGAACAACAATAATTTGATTGATAGACTTGGTTACTGGAAGACAGATAACCATGTAAACGGCTTAGACCTGTACACAGAATGGAAGTTCTGAACTAGGTTTTCTTCTCCACATATATCAAGAATCAGCCTGCCCCATCCACATCCATACACGGGCCTCTCTGCTGCCCTGAAACTTTTTCAACCCATCATCTCCGCCGTTTGAGACTTCAGTTATTGGTAACTTGAAGATAACTTTAACACCTCTTTGCACTTAATATCTGACATACAAAATATTCTTGATTCTTTTCCAAAATATGCCGAGCTAAAGCACAATCTAGCAAGAAAAAAAAACAAGAATCAGCTTGCTAAAGCACATTAATTGACAATAAAGGATCTCACTAGGTTTAACACAAGGCTTTAGAGAACTAAACTGACCTGTTGGAGAAGTTATGAGACACTGAAAAAACAAACACCACTCATGATGCCCGCTGATATGAAGCCTCATAACACTACCCTGGAAAGGTGCACCATCTGCCACTCTGAAGACTACAACCACAAATACATACAGATCTTAATTGCAGTGTTCACCCGATACAACTTCATGCATTAAAAGAAAATACAACAGAAGGTACGTACTCTCCAATGGGTTATGGACTATCTTATACATATTAAACATGTTAAAAGCCAAGTAACCAGTGAATTCAGTACCTGGCTTCATAATTCATCCTGACAGCAGTTTACAACCCTTTGCTTTCAACTTGGATTCTAAACCAAAAAACTTCAATCCTGACACCACCAGATCTGCCGTCTTCTTCTTCATGTGTTCAATTAATACTTCATCATACACAATCATGTTGGCTTCTGTTAAAAGTTTGCGCTCTTTCAAATTAGAAAATATCTTCCTTGCCTCCTCTATTGTTCCATGCTTACACATGCCAGAGATTATAGCAGAGTATATAACATCATCCAGAGGACAACCCTGCTGCATCATCTCATTTAGTACTTCAATCACCTTCTCAGCATTATTAGATTTACAAGCATGGAGAATGGTAAGAGAATACTTGAATTCCATGGGCCCACTTGTCACACTGGCTAAGCAGTCACGAACAAGCAGCATAACTGTATCAATCTCGCCAACTTTGCAAAGAGCTCTTGCAAGAGAACAATAAGCAGAGATAGAAGGAACACAAGACATCTCAATTATCTTATTATGAGAGGCACAAGCCTCATGGATGTCCTCATCTTCAACAAAACACATAATTGCAATGCTATAAGTAGACGCATCGGGCTGCAAATCCACATCCTTCATTTCATTAAAGAGAGACAATGCTTTCTTCACTTTCCCAGATTTGTGGAGGGATCCCATAAGGATATTGTAGATTCCAACACTATAATAACCTTTAACTTTCAACTCCCCAAACACTTCCAAAGCTAAAGGGACTCCATCCTCCTTTCCTACCATAAAGGAAAAGAATTTTGAAAGATCATCAATAACAGGAAAATCAAATTTCTCCATCTCTGCAAGCATATCGCAAAAGTTATCCATTCTTCTCATCTCAGCATAAGACACCAAAATGGGATTCACCGTAGCAAAATCTGGCTGAAGACCCTCTTGAACTGTAACTCGGAAAATCTTATAAGCTTTGTCAACCCGCTTCGCATTACATAAACCCTCAATAAGAGAATTATATATCCCCAAATCTGCCCTATATCCTGAATCCATCAAATCCTTCAACAAATCACATGCCGCTCCAACCTTCCTGTCTGCCACGAACCCCTCAATCAACACCCCGTAAATAGCTCTATCAATCAGGAAACCCTTAACCTTCATCTCCCTAAACAACTCGTATCCTTTCTCCACCCTCCCTCCCTTACACAGACCCGTAACCAGAGTTGCATATGCCATAACGTCTGCCCCTACCCTATCTCTCTTCATTTCCTCCCAAACCCTCAAACAGCCGTCCAAGTTCCCCTCTGAAATCAAAACCTTAACCATTGCCGTGTATGCAAACACGTCAGGTTTACACAAATTCACCCTCATTCTCTCCAAAAGCTGCAACATTTCATCCATTCTTCCCATTTTACAAAGACCCTTTATCAAGATCATAAAAGTAACACTCTCCTCGACCAACCCATCACCCCTAAAGTCTTCGTAAACCGATAATGCCAAATCCAAATAACCCGACTTCACTAACGCATCCATGATCCTATTGTACAAGAAAACCCTGGGTTTAACTCCAAATTTCTTCATTTTTTCATACACGTAATAAACCCTAAGACCTCTATTGGCATCGGAGTGCATTCTGATGAGAATCTCAAACTGTTTCTCGCTGGGCGGTTTGCCCTGCGAGTCCATCAACTCTGGGACTTGGTCCGCGGACCGGAACCGGTTGGACCTGTTCAGACAATAGGCCAAGGCATTGTAGGAAGCATAAGTGTGCTTGAAACCCTTTTGCTTACCTGCCCAGTGGAAGAACTTGGAAGCGGAGACGGGGTCGTTTTGGACCTTGAGCACCTCGGCAACGAGGTCGGGCGTAACCCGGCGGAGCTTTCGGAGCTCCGAGACGACTGGTGGGCCCCAGTGGTTCTGGTTCTTGCGGAACGCGTCGAGAATGAAGCGAGCGATAGGGGAGAGAAATGAGAGGAGTGTCGTGTCGGCAGGGTTGGATGATGAAGTGGACGGCGAGGATTGGGGGAGGTGTGGATCCCATTTGGAGAGTTCGAAGGACTGAGGTTGGGGGGCGGCGGTGGGGTATCTGCGGTTTGGGAGGGAGACGCGGTTGGAGAAGAGGCCGCCGCGGACTGTAGGGCGGTTCTGTGAGGGCTTGCGGTGGCCGTGGAAGAAGGTGAAGTTTTGGGGTTTAGGGGGTGGGGACTGAGGTGGCATTTTACAACTTGTGTCTGCCCCTATTACTCTCTTTCAGTCTTTCTAAAATTCTTTCCACTTGACAAAATGGAGTTCAAAAATTCAATGCAGGACCGGTTATGTTTAATTTTACTTCTTTGTTTAAATCCAAATCTATTAATATGAAAATCAAACTAAAACCAGACTGTGTATAAGTTTCAGTTTGAAGCTAATTTGAGGATTAAAGTAAACTAAATTGGACTGAACGAGCACAGCACGAGATGTTTTTTCTTAACACTCCAAGACTAAATTTTCAAGCTTTCTCGTATTCTTTCTACTTGCTTCCACCTCTACCCATCACTACGACTATGTTTGGTGCTTAAAATTGGATAACTCGCTAAATTCAAGGTATGTTGAAGGAAGAAATTGAGAAAAACTTCCATATTTTGTCAAAGTTTAAGGTAGAAGATGAAATAATCATGAAGGAAACTTATCGTTTCCAAACCCACTATGTTGACGGGTATTTCCTTTTTATTTTGTGGGAATTAGAATGGATTTGATAATATTCTATACATCAACATATTTGTCAGACAACAATTCGACCTGCTCCAAAATATTGGCAATAATTGGATCTCAACATATGGGAAACAATTGTTGTCACAACAGCTCCAAAATATTTATTTGTGTGAATACTTCGCAAGAAAACCAGTGTAGAAGAAGAGAAAAAAAATGAGCTAATGAAGCTACAATTGAATAACGTTCGGATACATAGGCCATTGAAGATTTTCCTTCCCTCCTATTTCAAAGGGAATGAGGTGTATTTTCCAAATGCACTAACATTTTTTACTTTTTTCTAATAAAAATAAGATTTTGATTTGTTAATGAGATAATAATACCCAAAAAAAATTCATGTGCTCAATCCGATCATTTTTTATGTGTATGGCTCGTAACGCATTCATTTGTTATTATTCCAAATTACCGTTGTCTACCTTATATAACCATATTACCTTATCATTGCCTTTTGTCACATGTTTTGATATTTTCTTCTCACTCACCAAGCTCATTGCATCATGTCTTACTATTGCGATTTTTTTTCCCTTCAAATGTTTTGTTAGTTTCCTTTTTTACCTCCCTGGAGTGTTTCTGCACTCAGTAGTCTCTTTTGTGCAATAATAATAAAGTGTCTCTACACTCAGTAGTTTTCATTGTGCAGTAACAGTAAAATGTTATAGGACTCAACATTTTTTTTTAAATGTGCAGTTACAGCTCTTTGACATTAAAATTGACGGTTGCCCTTGGTTGTTCAAAAAAATATGTTCAATGTCCTCGGTGTTGGAAAATATGAGAATAGAGGCAAAATGACATGGGGATCAAAAGGACGCGATCCCTTCTTTTTTTAAATTTTTTTAATTTTTTTCTCTCTACTTTCTTTGAAAATGTTCCAAATTCGAGTTCTCTTTCTATATTTAAAAAAAAACATAAATTGAAAGGTTTACGAGTCCTAAAGGCATCTTTTCCTCTTCCGTTTGTCGCCTCTTTTCATTCCATCTCTCTCAGACCAGCCGCTCTTTCAAATTTTCTCTTCTTTTCATTGTCTTTGCCTCAATCAACCTTAACATTTCCCTTCTTCTAAGCAACTCTTCCTCTCTCGATCTCAAACGATCGATCAATCTCAAGATTTTATTCCACCCTTTTCTTCCTCAAAATCTCATTTGCACATCCAAAATCGAGAGGTAAGAAAATTTACTTGAGCTGCATTTAATTACTCTAGTTTTATGAATGAGTCCATTGTATTCAATTCTTTGAAGATTATCACTTCTTATAATAGTTGAAATGTGGTTCTAATGTGCATGTTGAAAAAAAGATATTTCATAACTTGAGATCCCATATATTTTGTTTAATTTCTGTTTGACTATTTGTTTAGATTTGAACTTGAGCTGCGTAGAGTATCAATGCTATTATTATAGGGTTTAAAAAATATATATATATATTTATGTATAGCATGATGACGATTTGATTTGATTATTATATTAGCATGATGATGATACCATATGTATATATATTAATTTCTATTTAAAAATAATAATTATTTTGTTAACTTTTTCTATTTTTTGAGGGGTGAATAGTAAGAGTTATATTGAATTTAGTAGATCTTTTTAGGAGGCCCAAAATGGAGCCCAAATCTCCCTGCTAAAGAGACTGATACTCATAAGCAGAGAACTTTGACCTGAACTCGAGCAATCCCCACATCATAGGATGAGAGAAAAACTTGGAACCATAAAATATGGGAAAGAAACACACAATGGCACAAGCACAAACGTACACCACTTATGGGAAGTTATAAACAGAAAATTGGACACACCAATATGACATAGTTTTTTTTATTAACTTTGGCATTCAATTTAATATTGTGAGCTTATCCAGTCAACACTACAAGTCTCACTTCTTTCTGGAAAGCAGGGGTAACATTACATTCAGTTCAAATAATTCTACAATGATAAATGCCGCAAACGTTGAGTGTCCATTAAAATTAAAGGCCCCCAAAACTATATCCATCAAATTGCACTCTGGAAGAACAAAATTACACACTGCCTATAGGAGATGGATAACAGAAATGATATGATATGTAGATCATGCCTGCAAATCTGCTTTCTATTGACTCCAAGGATAGACGGTTTTGAGCCCATTACGTATACCAATGCCCCATTCTCTATCACACTCGGGCAAAACTGACCCTCTTTCTATTATTTCCCCTACTCCAGCAATTACCTGCTTGATAATCACTCCCTTGAAATCTTGAGCTTTTGTGGCCTGATATATACTCGTGAGGACGTTCCCTCTTATGGCCACCCTCGTTCCTAGCTCCCGAACCATTGTTTACTATCCTAAAATCCAAATTATTTTTCTGGTTATTCTGGCTCCCCCACTGTTTCCAACCCCACTCATCTCCTCCACGAGATCTCCACCCTCGATCTTTTAGAGATTTATTGTTTTGACTAGGACCGCCCTCCCAACGATTCTCAGTATGATCCACATTCTTTGACTCCTGCTGGTTGTAGCCCCAAGACTTACATATTGGATCACCCCATCTATTACCTTCCACAGACGCAACACCCTGACAGCCACCTTCCGAAGGTTTAACATCATTATCCCAACCCTTTGACAGAGTGATATTATCTCCCATCTGGTTCCATCCCCATGACTTATCCCTGCTATCTTCCCATGCATTCTTCTCCATACTTCCATTTCCCTGAGTACTTCCACTTTCCCAAGGGTTGTCACCATTAGTATTCCACTGGTTCCTGCCCTGAACTGTGTTTTTCAAATCTCCACTACCCTGAATGTTGTCACATTCCCAAGGATTTCTGCTGTTATTTGGAACCCTGTTATGTCCATCTGGAGGAACAAAAGCTGAATATTTTGTATTCTTGTTTCTTCGCCCGAACTTGCCATTCCCTTCTTCCTCATCAGGAGCAAAGTACTCACAATCCACTTCCTTAATGAGTTCGGGTTCAATAATAGGGTACCAATCTATTTCATCAATATAAATACTTGGATCAGGCAGAGAGATGTCACAGGAGAGGCCATTGATGTCTGCCCAAAAGCGCTGTTTTGCATTTTGAAATGCCTCCTCACCAGCTGAATCGTTCCAATCGAGTACATTACTATTTCCATACATATACCTCTTGGCATCTGCTACCTTCCACCATGGTATGGACCCAACCAAAGTGCAGAATTGCTTTTCCCAATAAGGTATACCATCCTTACAAAACCCTACAAATGAAAAAAAGAAGGAAAAAAAAAGTAAGATTCCACTAGAATGACTCTTTCAACAATGATGAGATTACCAAGACGCGGAATTAATGTCCCATACGTCAGGTGAACATAAAAACTAATAATAATAATAAAAAGAGATAGGCCACATGACCAACCAGAATAATATGAAAAGGAAAGTACAGAACTCACATCTTTAACAATCTAGGACTAACGTTATGATGCAGATGATAAGAGACTCCTATTTGAACAATTTCCAGAGTCTAAGCAATTATCATAGAAACCTCACAATGCTTGAGACAAAATTAGTTATGTTAAGGTTTCTTATTTTGTTCAAAATGAATTATAAATGGAACTGAAAGCCTACCGTAAATTGAAATAACGAACAAAATTTCCATAGGTAACAAAGAAAACGAATTAGCTGGCTATGTAAAATGTACATAACACACAAAACTACACAGAAAAAAAAATTAATCCTCTTCTGCAAAGTTTAACCTTAGGAGACCAATTTAAATTTAGTAATCTACAATATGAAAAGGGTATTAGACATGGCTTCGGGCACTATTTTATCACATGTAAATCTGCTGTCAATAGGAAAGGCATTCCGAAAACAAAGTAGCACACTTAAGAGAGTGAAATGGGTGAACAAATAGGCTAATGGGTTTAACATACACGACGGAAGTAACCTGACCAATTAAAGCATGCAAACTCTGTGCATTTTGAATGCACCAAAGCACATGAAGAAGTAATAAATGATGGCACAAACAAATGTAGTTCTATTTCACGATAAGCCAATCAAAGTAGACCATAATAAGGTATCTATATCCAATTAGCAGTCTTCAATCTAACGAGTGTCTTATAAATAGGTGCTTTCTAGCATTGCTCGCCAGACTGTTATAATACCCGCCTTGAATTCTCAGTAAGTTTCTCTGCTGAACAAATAAACAATCTAAAATATCTAAGTGTTTATAAGCTTTGGTATTTTCTTAGGAACCATTTACTGAAAAAGTAAAAAGGATTTGATAAAAGGGGAAAATTTGGAACAACTAGAACATGTGCCATATAAAGAATTCAGATAAAACACATCAAGAAAAACCTACAAACCAACAATTCAAGAAGAACCCAATTCAAATTGATAGTAAACAAGTTCAAAAAACAAAGAAAGACAGAAAATTACCTGAAGGAGGAGGAGGTTCGGGGTGATATGGTAGTGGGTATACGCTTGGAAGCTTTTCTTGACGGTAGATTCTACGAGGGGGACGATGTCTCCAATTGCCCATTTGCGCAATTCCAAGACTTCATAGAGAGATAAAGACAGAGAATGAAGCTTTCGAAACTACTACAGGATCTAAGATTTTGTGAGATAAAAAACAAAGCTTTACTTTTACCAGAGAGTGAGAGCGAGAGTCAAATACTGTTGAAGTTTGCGGGCGGCAGACTGACTGAGGTTTAGACAGCGTAAATGGCGGAACTCGTGCTCAACTCTATCCAATATTGAGGCCCAAGTTTAGGTTGATGGTGTCCATTGGGCCTAGCCGAATTTGTAGTTTTCAGCTTAACCTGGGAGTTTCTAAATGAACCCAACAATTTGATACTATAGGCTAATATATACTATATCGGAAATGCTATAATGAGGGCTTAAAGTGAGGAGGTTATTTGAGGAGGTCAAATCTCACTATCAACAAATGTAAAGAAATCATGGGACTTAAATATTTTAAATGTTTTGACGGTCGGATCAGTCTCCTTAAATAACCTCCTCACTTTAACTCCTAATTGTAGAAGCTCTCATACTATATAGGTATGTAAGTTTGTGGAGACATTCTATAGGGCATTAGATGAGGTCTTATCTCTTAAATGTTAGATTAATTTAACTAATTTGATCAAACGATTAACTAATTTAATCCAATGATTAAGAGATAAAGTCTCATCTAAGGACCTTAGATAAGGCTCTCACTATAAAATTCTTGTAAGTTTGTGATAGGAAGGGATTATCGGTTGGTCTGCGGGTCACGGCTCATGAGTTAAAGAAGGTTAGTCCAACCCAATGAGCCAAAACCTAATTTAGTTTGACTCCTTTTTTTTATTTTTTTATTTTTTTATTTTTTATAATCTGGTAGGGCTTGAGATTAGGGGTGGCATTTTATACCGAAAAACCGCAAAAACCAACCGACAATTTACCGCAATCGCGCGAAACTGAACCGCATTTGCAGTTGCGGTTACGGTATTTGATTTTCAAAACTTGTAGTTACCGCAAACAGCGACTATATTTAAAAATAAATAAATTACATTTTGTAGATAGTATTGGTGCTCAAACAATACAACGGGGTCCTTCAAATCCACTCACCACCACCAACACTTGAGTTTGTAACTTTAATTTGTAACATTAGTGCATTGCATTTCCTTTTAGTTTGTAACTTTAATTAACTTTTAATTGGATTTTTCCTTTGGGCTGTAATTTTAAGGGAGTTTCACTAAAACACCAAAAATGGGGGCTGAAATTATAAAAAAACACAACACCCAAAACACTTTATAAACACACTCAAAACCCATCATTACACACACTCAAAACCCATTTATAAACACACCCAAAAAATATACAATTATTGATTTTGGGTGTGTTTCTATGTTTAAATAGTATTTGGGTTTTTTTTATAAATACATGTCTAGGATTGGGTTTATTTATAAATTTGTATAATTTTAATTCATTTTGCATTGCATTTTCCTTTTGGTTTGTAACTTTAAAGGATTTGGAATTGGAATGCTTGAGAAGTTGAGGTTGTGAATTTATATTTTTTGGTTAAAGTATGCTTGAAATCAAAAGGCTTCAAAAGAAGCATCAAAATTAGGCATAAAATGTGGAAAATTGAATTTTTATGACACAAAAAGAACATGCGGTTTTAAACTGCTAATTCACGGTAACCGACCGCTTTTTACGGTTTCAAAAATCACTATACCGCAAATAGTTGGTTGGTTTGCGATTTGGGCAAAAATTCGCAGTTACCGAACCGCAACCACCCCTACTTGGGACAATGTTTATAAACCAAGCTCGGCTGATGAGCTGGTCCATTTGAGTCCAATGTGGCTCAGTTCATCAAGCCACGTCGAATGTGGGACAATGTTTTATATTTAAAAATATATTGAGTTTGAATTGTGAGATAATTAATCTTTATGGTAAAAAAATCATTTTTGGTTTATGTAGAGCTCGTTTGATAATAATTTTAATTTTAGTTTTTAGTTTTCATTTTTTGTGCTAGAATTTAGAGGAAAATGAGAGTGAGGATGAGATTGAGAGAGAGAGAGAGAGAGAGAGAGAGAGAGAGAGAGATGTTCTTGAATTGCTTGGAATTCAAATTACAAAGATAAAATTGATAAAATTGAAACTACAAGGACCTTGTAAATGTGGTAAACAACATTTAGGCTATGTCGGCCCTGTCCTTGTACCTTTCAAGTAGTCCCACTTGTAGCTTAGACTTCAAACTACGCTCTAGAAGAAGATTTTTTCATCCAATTCAAAAAGGAGCGTATGGGTTTTGAAAGTGATTGATGTCATGTTTTATTTATGTACGCTAAATAATGAAGAATTTAGATGATTAAATTGCAGTCGTGTCTTTCATTGGACCCATTTCTTTTCCTTCTTTTTTTTCTTCAAAGATATGGTTGGAACTTTTTTTCGGAAGGTATCATTGGACCATTTTTAAGTCTCTCCTTCATAACATAACATTATATGCCTTTCTTTTCATGGGTTTTTTTTTCTTTTCGCATTAATTTGTTCTTTCTCATCCTACCACATTACCTTCCGTGTTTCCTGGTGTTGTGACCAAATATGAAAAGATTAGGTAAAGACAAGATCTTTAACCTCACTTACAAATTCAATCATTTCCATAGATCTGAAAACATGGAAATAAATGAAGGCTTCAAGTTATTGTTTACTTTTTTGGACTTTCTTGGTAAAAAAAAATGCTTAGATGCGACGATCACATTGCAAAGTACCTTCATTTAGTGCTCGAAAAAATATCGATTTAGTATCAATGCATGTCTAGATTTTTCATCATCCTATTATATAATTCAATAAATTAAAAAGTTAAAATGAAATAGCTGGCTTCATCACCTACATTAAATTATCCATGTGTGACTATGCGACTTTCGTTTGTCTATCCTACTTTAAGCCGGAAAACAAAAGAGGGAGCTCATAATGAAAGACATAATTATACAAAGTAATTAAAACCTATGACTTGCGAAAAGTGGATAGGATCATAGGAGGAGGAGGTCAAGAAATGTATTATATATTTGTACTTTTTGGTTTTTCGTATAAGAATCAAATAGAACTAAACATGTTATTCGTTTATTATACATGTATAGATGTGTATTTTCACTAATAATACATGTATTTTTACATATTTCACAATAATATACGTATTATTTATGTATTTTATTCGTATTTTTCATGTACTATTGAGAAAAAAACTACACATAACAAATTAAAAAATAGTAAGCGATATTTTAATTTTTTTAATTTATTTATTTATATAAAAGAATATTAATTGGTTTTCTAGATGGGAAAGAAAAATCATTTATCTTTATGACTTTTTTTGTAAAAGATGCATGAGATGAGAATATAAATATGACAATTCCTCTCTTTGGGCCCTTCAACAGCTGTCTTCCCTCCACAACCTAAGGCTTGCTTTTGTTTCTTTTGTCTTCTTCTCTACATTCTCTCTTCTCTTGCACATTGTGACTCCCCCACTTCCCTCAATAATTAATCTCTCTCTCTCTCTCTCTCTCTCTCTCTCTCTCTCTCTATAGTGGTGTGTGGATTATGGGAAACAGTCTATATCTATACATTATTTTATTGAAGACTTTAACTCTAGTCACAAATGTACAACATCAGAGTAGTTGCCTGTGGTACAAGCTCTCTTTAACCTAGAGGTCCCAGATTGTTGAACTAATTGTCACAACACAACACAACACTGTGTCACTGACTAGGATTTACTCATGCCAACAAACAAAATATGGATCAAGGTTTCCAGTCAACAATGAAAAATAAATATCCAAGGTCTCCATTTCAGCAAATGAGCTGTCATTTTTTACCACTTCAAAAAAAATACAGCATGCATAAATTCAGTACCATTGAATCTTAACCACAGATGAACAATACAGATCCAACCAAGGATAGAGAATTCATCAGCAGAAAACTTATGCAATCTTATTGGAGTAAATCACCATCAGCAAGCAGTGTCCTCCATCATACATGATGGGCTGCTGTTGCATGGTATTATTACTTATTCATCTGAAGGAAGGGGATAGTTGAGTAATTTGATTCCCATCAGACATTTGAACATGTCTGCTGCAGTTAAAGAAAGATTGGGGGTTGCAGAAAGATGAGAAGGCCCCATCAAAAGTATTTCTCATAATTCATTTTGAGGCTCCTTCCCTGAACACAAAGCAGCTCTAACTTTTTCCAGTACAATTGCTATGCTTAGACCCACCCACACATATTGAACAGAAGAACTCATCATGAACAAGAGGAAAAAAAAAGTGAATAGCTGAATTGACAAACAACAAACATACCCCCTCAGGATTGTTATCAAATTTGGAAACTTAAAAACCTTCTTAGAGTTTGTGATTCAGTTTCCCAATAAACTATTCTTTTCTATATGAGATTATTAACTTGAGTGGAGTCTAAGTTATCTTCTTTCCTGAACTTTATAAAAGTAGCATCCAAATTCCCAGGAGCTGAAAGTTGCTGATGCTGTGAATTCGGGTTTTATCGATAGACGAATCACTTGATTTCAGGAGATGGGTAAGATGCTGTTTAGATCCTACAAAATATCTGCATTGAATTTAGGATTTTTGATAACTGTTTCAAGTAATGATGTAAAAGTTCATTAACTTAATTTATTATTGTTTTCTTGACTATTTTGTGCAAATTGGTTTTGCAAAACCAGCTTCATATGTTGCCCTTAGCATGATGTGATTTCTTGTTTCTGCAATGGCAAAGAGGAGCTGGTTCAATATAGTGAAGAGCTTCTTTGTTTCAGAGACACAGTCAAAGCAAAAAAAAGTAAGCAAATCATTCTTTTTCTTCTGCTATTTTGTTCATTTCACTTTGAAGTCCCTATCCTAATTTGATCAATTATTTTTAGAAGGAGAAGAGAAGGAAATGGATTTTTGGAAAGCTTAAGATCAAAAGACTAGCCTCATTAACTGCACCATCACCACCATCACCATTAAAACAAAGGACACAAAATGAGGCAGAGGAAGAACAGAGCAGGCATGCTTTGACTGTGGATATTGCCAGCACTGCTGCAGCAGCTCATGCTGCTGCTGAGGTTGTGAGGCTCACTGGCACCCCCCGGTCTTCTGAGAAATTTTTGGAGGAGGAAAAATCATTGTCAATCAATATTGCTCAAAATGAGGCCACTAAGTTGGCACATCAATGTGAGAGACAAGTACAAGAATCTGCAGCTGTGAAAATACAAACTGCCTTTAGAGGCTACCTTGTGAGTTTATTCAGGCTGTTCTCTCTCTCTTGCCAAAATTTCAATCAATTTTTGCTTTCACTGAGGTGGTTTGAATTGGTACAAAAATTCCATGAAACAATATGTACATATTGACAACCCTGTCATCATGGCTATGTTTATGCTTATCTGAGAATTTTGGTAGCATTTTGTGTTTTTTTTTCCTCTTAATTACTCATTTATTCTCAGCAAGGTACCATTTCTGACATGAAAGTAAAATTACTAGATGAAGTCTACAAAAAACTATATTATTGTAAGTTATTTCTCATATCCTGCAAAGATCAGTTTATTAGACTTATCATTGTTACATGTTTTGTGGGAGAAAATTGTAGGCAAAGAAGGCTTTGAGAGCACTAAAGGGAATAGTGAAGCTTCAAGCGATTATTCGAGGACGGGCTGTGAGACGTCAAGCAATGACTACACTCAAGTGCTTGCAATCCATAATAAATATCCAATCACATGCCTGCGCTAGGAAATTCCAAACGATCGAAGACGCTTCCCATTGCGATGAACATAATCAGTTCCAAAATTTGAGAGACAAGATAATAAGGGTAAGTTTGGAAAGAGGTTCTTATGATGGAAACATACATAAGAAAAAGAACACCTTTTCTCCATTTAGGACAATCTTTCTTGTGGAAAAGTATAGGCTGCAGGCTTCTATTTAAAAATTTACATAACAAGTGTCTTTTAAGTACAATTTTCTTTGCACAATGTGACATGATGAAATCTTTAAAACTTTTAGATGGACTCAAACAGTCAAAGAAGGTGGGATGGCAGCCTCATTTCAAAGGAAGAGGCAGAGGCCTTGTTTCTAAGCAAGAAAGAAGCTATGCTTAAGAGAGAACGAATAAGGGAATACTCGTATACCCATCGGGTAAGTTCCTCTACTTTAAAATCTTTGGTTCATTCTTTGTCTCTGCTCAAAAATAGCTTCTCCCACTAAGTTGTCAGCAAAAACATTTTGCAGAAGTCAGCAGAATCAGAGAGAAACAAGGTAAATGGAAGATGGAGATACTGGTTGGACCAATGGGTAGATACACAACTTTCTAAAAGCAAAGAACTTGAGGACTTGGACACGGTTTTGGATTCGAATGCAAAGCGTAAAGAAGAATTTGGAGGAAAACAACTTAGGCTGAGAAACTTCCAAAGACAGAACATTCAGATTGAAGGAATGGATTCTCCAGTGTTTGTACCAAGAAGATCTTCATACCACAGAAAGCAGTGTTCATTGGGAGATGAGAATTCCTTCACAAGCTCTCCTGTTGTTCCAACTTACATGGCTGCAACAAAATCTGCCAAGGCAAAAGCAAGGTCTCTAAGCTCCCCTAAGTTAAGGGCAGGCAGTTTAGATACTTACTCTGAGAGCTATTCACCATGCAAGAACAACATCTCCCTTATATCCTCTATCACCAGTGAAATCCCAATTAGCAGCACTGGAAAAATATTGGGCAAGTCTAGTAGCATCCAGCAAAGATCTCCAAGCATGAAGGGCCTTCCAAGCCCTTTAAGATTAAAACAGACGGCAAAGGATCAAAGCTTCGATTGGGATAGACAAACTGCTTTTAGATGATGATTTCAGTGGAATTAAAGACAGATTTAGTCTGGTTAGTGTATTTGGTTTGGATTGCTGAAGTTAATTTGTAATTACAAGTGAACTAAGTGGATGAACATTTTCAGTCCTTTAACCATATATAGGTTCATTACTGCATAGATAAATAACACCTTACCTTAAGCTTTACTCATACATACTGACTTAAGCAACCTGATTCGCTAGTTGTGAGCTTGAATGCCATGTTACTTCATTTGAAATTTGCAACCTCACTCAGTTGGAGAAATGATTGTTAGAATAGCTTCAAAATGGAAGCTACCTGTATTATGTTTAAGCCACTTTCATCAAGTCATATATAACAAGAAGAACACCACCACATCTCAGAATAAGAGGGACAGCTTCTATAATGAGGGGTTACAATGAGGGGGTTCAATTCAACAGTCCAATAATAACCCTGCACTAGATCGAACGGCTATTAAGGACCCCCACATTATAACCCCTTACAAAAATCCCTCATTCTAGCCTCCGTATTTAAAACTTGCAATTTACATATTTTAGAGGGTGCGGGCTGATGTCTCCAAAAGCCCAAGAGCCACTCAAACTGAAAGAATGCTACCCAAAGGAAAGGGACCTGACCTAAAAAGAATGAAGCCTAAAGGAATGGCTAACAATTCTAAGCCCAAAGCCGAGGAAGGATGGTAGCTTATATGCCAAACTCTCACCCCAAACCCAAAGGAGAAGGAACTAAAATCATCCTATGAAATATGAATACTTGCAAATTTCAACTTAAGTTTGGGACTAATTTTTTTTAGTGTGACCGAACATAAAGTTACAAGTTGACACAAAACTATAATACGTGGTGAGCAACGAGTTTACATTACTATAAAATACATTATTGAATTGGTACGTTCACATCGAATAATATTCGTATTTAACATGAGATCATTATTTTAGTGAACCATTAATTTGACATCATTTCTAGAACTACAAGGCACCAAAAGACAAAGTAACTTTAATTATGTAATAGAGAAAGAAAACGAAGTCCATCAAATTCCACTAAAATAAGAATCGCTTGTAAGCAATCATTCTAGACAAGGAAGCTGTTTTGTAAATTGTAATTCCAAAATTACGGCAGGCTCAATTCTATATTAACATGAAAAGACACCATATATGTGTTTGATTTCTCTTCCTTTAATAAGATGTTCACGCACGTTGGACCATTTTTTTCCAAAGTCATTTTCACCAAGAGGCAAAGAGAGAGCTGCACACAATAATAATAAATAAGGTGAAGACTTCCAAAGCTCCTCCCATACATTCAACCTTTCTAGACACTGCACTACTTTCTTGCTTCAGAGGAATTATAATGAATCTGTCTACCACCATTTGGTCATTGGAGTTGGACCTTTCAGGCATGCCCTCCCAACATTGGACATTGGAGTTCGACCTAACCAATCTTAATTAGATGCCCCACGTGGATTTCATGAGAACTATATGAGATATGCGGCCGACAAATTCAATTATTAATTAACGAACGAATAATTGTGTGTTGGAGAGCTAGATTTTGATATTTAGGTCAAAGAGAACGTTTCAAAGTGGAGATACTATTAAAAAAAAACAAGTCATTCACAAATCTAGACGTTGTTCTTGTTGAGAGTATTTTCCTAACATTACCAATTGATTTCAGGGTGAAATTTCAACTTTCCTTATAGTATGAGACAGTAGTATACCAATTGGTAAGAATCCATGAGTAACTTGCCCCTAAAAATCGGCTTGTAATAAGGAAAGGGTAGCCATAAGCTCTTAAACCACTCTAGGATATGCTATTTTTCTAATGTGGGATCTTGAGTCCTAACATTCCACCACGCTTCCGTACTAAATGTTCTCATCGGCCCACTCTATTGACACTGGCCCAGTAGTCATCATTTCCTCCCTTTGAGGCGGCTACACTCAATTACCAGTATTCAGTGACTTGATATTATGCCCATACACAACACCAATCATCTTAATCTAGCCTATAGGTCGGTCTTTCTTTGGATTTGGGCCTAATTGTGTGGTAAACCTAGTTCTGATACCAATTATGGACTTATAAGATGTTGGGATTGCTAATTGATTTTGACGTGAAATCTCAACTTCCTTCAATTCTTTAACTAACATTCTCGGCTCTAAAGAGCAAAATTACAAATTTTCTATACAAAATATATACTGTTTTTCCATTATTAATACCAATGAAACAATTTACAACAAAACTACTCAAATCCAAATATATTATTTCAAGTCCTTAATTAATTGCTATCTTGACTAAAAGAATTTATCATGTCTAGCTTTTACGTCTGCTCTGGTTCTATTCTATTTTTCGTATATATAACATTTTATTTTCTTCATTCAAACAGCAGTAACTTCAAATAAAAACTAATGAAAATATTATGATTATATGCTTATGTTCTATGAAAAAAAAATAAATAAACCATCAATGTGGCTCCCTCCCTCCACCCACCACTGAATTTCTTAGGCTAGAAATTGTCCAGAGGTTGAGTCAACTTTTAGTCTTCCAGTCGAGACTTGTGGGAATCTTCTTATATTATTAGTTTTTAGAAAATGACGTTCAAAGTTTGAACTGCATAAGTGCTGATGAATTAGGCAACCTTTTTCCCTCTGTTTCAGGATGCTCAAGTCAAGTAAAAAAATCAATTTGGCTCTGGCTGGCTTCCCTTGTTTCTTTTCACAAATGCTCAAATCACACGCCTTTCATGAGTTGAAGTCAATGGGATAAAGGTTATCATCTAAGTTGGCTGAGAAGCTACTTCAAGTAATAGTACCAGCCAATTCAATCTTTATTCACTTTGTAAAAGAGAAAAAAAGAGAGTAGAAAATTAGGTTCAGTTTACAAACTCTTCAAATGATGCATGCATGATGTTATAGAAACAAAGTTATAGTAAAATTGATGAAATTGTCCTTGATTTAAACTAATTTAGACATCGGTGGTGAATTGCAACACTTTATATACGAAGTTCGGTAATTAATAGTAAAAATTAAAAGTTCATGTAGTAATTTCACACGTGCATATAAATTTAATCGAGTCACGTATATATTTTAGACTGAGCATTAATTGTCAATTATGCATGCAGTAGTTTTCATGAAAAGGAGAAGATCTATATATCTGTCAATAATGAATGAATTCATAACGTATTAATTGATTTGATGGTAGCCGTAGGTAGCATCAGATAAGAAGTAGTGATCATGAGCATGAGCTAGCGCACACGGCTTTAGAAAAAGGATCACTCTATATATGCATATACTAGGGGTCAGATCCTTTTTCCTTTTCTTCTCTTTTTGCTTTTTTTTTAAGGAAAAAAAAACATTTCTATTAGGGTTTTTTTGTTGTTGTCAAAGCATTTCTTTTTAAGGTTTGGCAACTAGATGGATATGTACTCTTTATAAGTTTGCATGTGAATTCACCCTTTCGTTGGATATCGCTTTCAAGAACACTTGGAGAGGTGGAAATTACATGCGTGCGTGTTAGTTTCCTTAGCTTATGCCTTTTATATTGTTGAGGATATTCCACATCGATCATATATAGGATAAAATCTTAGCTGAAGAGTTTAAAAGATTTTGGACCTCTATGTTCATTACCAATTGGTTTTGAGTTGGATGCTCACTTTCTAATATGATATCAGAGTATGCTTGTTATTAGGTACCAAAGACGCCACAAGTGAGGAGGCGTGCTATGATTTTATAGAGTTTTTAACCCAATTCTATTTTTCAAAATTTCTTTCTCTAAACCTCCTTCATTGTGCGTGAGTTCTGCAATATATACATATTTTTGTGACTCTAATATGTAAAGTTTGCAATATGGGACGGAAATGAAAAGGAGAAGATGTAGAGGATCAATGAATTCATAACATTCATTGACTTGATGCCGTAGCATCAGATGAGTAAGGATCACTTCTATGCATGCTAGCTACGAGTCATATCACATACCATGAAAAATAAAAATTCTAGGGTTTGGCAACTAATTTTTGATATTTCATTATATTTGCATGCCTTTTAGTTTTTTTCGTATCGATAACCAAGATTCCATCTACAAGGAAATGAGTGAGCTACAACTTACAAGAGTGTTTATCGATCTTTTTTTTAAAATTTTATTTTTATAAATGCTAATTACATTTAAAATTTAAAGTTAAAAGTCAAATTACACTTTAATTAAAGAATGGGGTACCGCGGGGAATGCAATGCACCCTTTCCTCTTGCTGCTCACTCTTAACCCTATAAATATGGTGAATGAGAAAAATATATGTAGAAGAGCATGTGTGACACCAAAGTTTCTCTCCCCTCTACAGAGGGGGTAGATTCAAGGGCGGAACCAGAAATTTTTCAATGGGTGGGCTAGCTAACGTTATTAGCTTAAAATCTAATGATAATTTTTTTTTTGTACTTACATTTACTATAGTAAAATGCTTCTTTTTTGGAGACAAATTAATAGAAATTTTTTTAAATTGATGTTGGGACAAACTTTGACACCAAATACAAATGTGGAAGACCTCTTACTATGCTTATTGGTGTTGAAATTGTATATATATATATTTATTTTTAGTTAAAATATTATGCTATAAATATATTTAATTTATTTTTTTCCCAAACCTTCCCTAGGCTACAGCCAAGGGCAACCATTGCCTTGGTTCCGCCCATGGGTAGATTGTTACCATGTTGCTCTAGTAGTTTGGTTTTTCGAGTTTGTATTATAAAAATCATTAAATAAAATACTAAAACAACTTAATTTAATATGAATATAATATTGGTACAGAAAATATGAGGACTTTTCACAAATAGGCTCGTTCTAGCATGACATTTTATACATAAATTCTTAGGAAGTTCTTATTTGGGGGAAAAAAATCCCCTAATCTAACCACTTGTTATTTTCTAATTGGTTCTTAATGTGTTATAATTTTTTTCACTCAAAAGTATATCATGGAGATTTTCTAAAGTATTAACTTGAAGGGTTTTTATTATTATAAAATATCATG